TTTTTTTTTTTTTTGAGAGGTTTTCGCTATAGGGCGTGTGCGCTCGCCAGACAGAGAGAGACATAGAGACAGAAAGCGAGAAATCACCCCCCAGGGGGGATGGTCACACTGCAATCCCTTCTCCTGCATCCTCCTCTTGGGATCCTGGGCATGCACGCACACACGCCCGGTGTGAGTTCTAAGCCACCGGGTCCGGGACGCGAACCGCGGTTGACTACATGGGAGTCCAGCAACATAGCCATTACGCTAACTGCTGGTTCCCAATCCTGCTGTTCTAAACTAGACCAGGAAAGTCTGAGTAATAAGATGGTATTTGAACAGAGACCTTGCAGAAGGCAACTAAGGGAGCCAGTAAACATCTTGGGGAACAGAGTTCCAGGCAGCAAGCAAATCTGAACTTGTGAGATGCAAAATCTGTTACTGAGTTTCTGAGTACATATTATTGAGATAATTATACCAAAATTTATTAAATTGTCTCAGAAACGTCCTTGTATTATTACAAATGGATGAATGCATTTGGAAAGGTTTCAGGTTTGGAAGCATTAAGTGTGGTCTACTGAAAAGATCACTGGTCTGGAGTGTTTCAGCACCTTCAATAGATATATATGATAAAGACGAACTTTCTGACCTTCCATAGTTTTCTGAGTTATGAAATTAGGGCAGAGGGAAGGCATGTTATAGTCTACATGAATAGAGAAGATTACAGTCTGCCTCTAAAGGGTAAAGATTTAAGTCTGTAAAAACAAAGACAATAAACTTATTTATAGTAGAGGCCTTCAGCATGAAAAAAAGTCAGGGGTAAAGTCTAAGATAGAGAATCTAAAACTCAGAGCCTGGGAGAAAAAAAAAAAAGGAGTCCTCAACAATTTGCCCCTTGGAACCAGCACATGACTTAGCGGTTTCATTGCTAGAACCCACAGTGTGGTTGACCAGAGTTCAAGTCCTGGACCCTGTGACTTGAAAATCACACTGGGTGCTTGTGTGTGTATGCCCAAGATCCTGGGAAGAGAATGGAGGAAAAGGGATTGTGTTGTATCCATCCTCGTGAGGGGTGATTTCTCACTTTTCCACTGTGTTTGTCTCTCTATCTTTCTGGCAAACCCATGTGCCCTAAGGCAGATTGAAAAAAAAATTAGCCCCTTAATCATCTGGAAAATTAATTTTCAGCAACTTGACTTTAAAAAGAAAAAACATTTTCAGGGGCCCAGCCATTGGTGATAGAAGCAGTAGGGTGCTGGTACAAGATAGCTGTGGCCATGTGGGACGTCTGGGCTTAGGACCCAACACAAGCAATGGGGTCACACACCTATGTTCCTAGTTTACTGGAAGGCTGGGGCAAGGAGGCGCGAGATATTGCAAGACCCCATCAAAACAACTGTGTCTTTCTGTCTGTCTCCCTCCTTCGGGTGCTTTTTTTTCATTTAAAAAAAAAAAAGGTAAAAACAAAAAAAACACATTTAAAAATTTTACTTTGTCTTCTATAGTTTACTTAACCATATTTTCCCTTATGTAGAAAATTTAGGTAGTTTCCAGTGGTATTTGCATGTATTCTGAAAATAATGATCTCTGCTTATAGTTAATTCAGATTGATCTCACATGGTATTTGTCAGTAAGGAACACATAACTCATATGGATCAGAAAGTCTCCATTCCCTAGTATCTAGGCAGACGAAACCACAGCACATGAAAATGTTCAGTGATATTATTCATTAGCTGCGTTCTCATTTTCTCCTGTAAGAAGGCATCAGTTAATCTCAGGGAGGGACCAGCAAATGTCATAATGGTAACATTAGAAGGCAACTAAGGGAGCCAGTAAACATCTTGGGGAACAGAGTTCCAGGCAGCAAGCAAATCTGAACTTGTGAGATGCAAAATCTGTTACTGAGTTTCTGAGTACATATTATTGAGATAATTATACCAAAATTTATTAAATTGTCTCAGAAACGTCCTTGTATTATTACAAATGGATGAATGCATTTGGAAAGGTTTCAGGTTTGGAAGCATTAAGTGTGGTCTACTGAAAAGATCACTGGTCTGGAGTGTTTCAGCACCTTCAATAGATATATATGATAAAGACGAACTTTCTGACCTTCCATAGTTTTCTGAGTTATGAAATTAGGGCAGAGGGAAGGCATGTTATAGTCTACATGAATAGAGAAGATTACAGTCTGCCTCTAAAGGGTAAAGATTTAAGTCTGTAAAAACAAAGACAATAAACTTATTTATAGTAGAGGCCTTCAGCATGAAAAAAAGTCAGGGGTAAAGTCTAAGATAGAGAATCTAAAACTCAGAGCCTGGGAGAAAAAAAAAAAAGGAGTCCTCAACAATTTGCCCCTTGGAACCAGCACATGACTTAGCGGTTTCATTGCTAGAACCCACAGTGTGGTTGACCAGAGTTCAAGTCCTGGACCCTGTGACTTGAAAATCACACTGGGTGCTTGTGTGTGTATGCCCAAGATCCTGGGAAGAGAATGGAGGAAAAGGGATTGTGTTGTATCCATCCTCGTGAGGGGTGATTTCTCACTTTTCCACTGTGTTTGTCTCTCTATCTTTCTGGCAAACCCATGTGCCCTAAGGCAGATTGAAAAAAAAATTAGCCCCTTAATCATCTGGAAAATTAATTTTCAGCAACTTGACTTTAAAAAGAAAAAACATTTTCAGGGGCCCAGCCATTGGTGATAGAAGCAGTAGGGTGCTGGTACAAGATAGCTGTGGCCATGTGGGACGTCTGGGCTTAGGACCCAACACAAGCAATGGGGTCACACACCTATGTTCCTAGTTTACTGGAAGGCTGGGGCAAGGAGGCGCGAGATATTGCAAGACCCCATCAAAACAACTGTGTCTTTCTGTCTGTCTCCCTCCTTCGGGTGCTTTTTTTTCATTTAAAAAAAAAAAAGGTAAAAACAAAAAAAACACATTTAAAAATTTTACTTTGTCTTCTATAGTTTACTTAACCATATTTTCCCTTATGTAGAAAATTTAGGTAGTTTCCAGTGGTATTTGCATGTATTCTGAAAATAATGATCTCTGCTTATAGTTAATTCAGATTGATCTCACATGGTATTTGTCAGTAAGGAACACATAACTCATATGGATCAGAAAGTCTCCATTCCCTAGTATCTAGGCAGACGAAACCACAGCACATGAAAATGTTCAGTGATATTATTCATTAGCTGCGTTCTCATTTTCTCCTGTAAGAAGGCATCAGTTAATCTCAGGGAGGGACCAGCAAATGTCATAATGGTAACATTGCTGGACTCCCACATAGTTACCTGCAGTTCAGGCTCCCGACCTGGCAGCTTAAAACTCACCCCAGACACGTGTGCATGCCTAAAGTCCTAAGAGGAGAATGAAGAAGAAGGGACTGTGGCATGGCCATCCCCCTGGGGGGATGCCTCTCCTGTGAGCACACACACACACTGTAGCAAGGAGCTCTCTTAAAAAAAAAAAAAAAAAAAAAGTTTCAGGGAACTAAACTAATTGATAATAAAGTTTGGTTTCATAGATTCTTAGATTAACTCATGAAAATGTGCTGTACTCTTTTCAGCAATTCTAGAGGTGTCATTGTGTAATTATATTTTCTATTTTTCTTCAGGTTCTTATTTCCCGAGCTTCCTGAAGAGGGCAGCACAATTCCTCTCTCTGCTCCTCTGCCGACTGAAAGGAAATCCTTTTGTACTGGGAAGTCAGATTCTAGATCTGAATCACCAGAGCCAGGGTAAATGGGACTTGGGTGGAGATAATGAAGAAGGGGGTTGGGGACTAACTAGACATTTTTATCCTGAGTCCCAGGATAAGCTGTTTTCTCTAGCTCTGTTTCCTCATTTCTAAAATGATATGATTGGGTTAGGGAACTCTGAGGTGTTATTAGCCAATGAGAGAGACTAGAGAGAGCAGCCACAAATTATCTGGGCACAAAGGCTGTTTTGCAAATAACAGCATTGCTGACCTGAAATAACCACAGAGAAATGGGCCTAACAGGGAAACAAAGCAGGTTTTGAGTTAGATTTTGAGTTAATGAGAAGAATTCACAGTTGGTCCAAGACAAAGTTCTGGGACCATAGGTAACCATGGATTTGGACCCCCATGTCAGGCATTTGAACATCCGAGGTCCCAGTGAGCTGGAGGAGGACGAAGGAAGAGGGATCTCAGGGGTGACAAGGGTATATTCCAAGTTCTTTAAAATTTCCCATCTTGAGACCAGCAGTTAGCGTAATGGCTATATCACTGGACTCCCATGTAGTTGACTACAGTTCGAGTCCCGGACCTGGTGGCTTAAACTCACGCCGGGCACAGGTCCATGCATGCCCAAGATCCTGAGAGGAGAATGGAAGGAAAGGGTTGTGGCGTGGCCATCCCCTCTGGGGGGTGATTTCTTGCTCTCTGTCTCTCTCTGCCTTTCTGGAGAGCCCATGCGCCCTATAGCAAAAATCTCTCAAAAAAAAAAAAAAAAAAAAAGAAAGAAAAAAATTCCCATCTTTGCTTTGTTTTTTGAGAGATTGTTTTGTTATAGGGCATTCACTGTCTCAAAAAAAAAAAGAAAAGAAAAAAATTCCCATCTTTGTTTTTTGAGAGATTGTTTTGTTATAGAGCATTCACTAGAAAGGCAGAGAGAGATAGACAAAAAGCGAGAAATCACCACCCAGGGGAAATGCCCATGCCGCAATCCCTTCTCCTCTATTCTCCTCTCAGGATCTTGGGCACGCACGCACACGCGCCCGGCATGAGTTTAAGCTGCCAGGTCCGGGACTTGAACTACAGTCTACCATGTGGGAGTCCAGTGACATAGCCATTACGCTAACTGCTGGTCCCCTGTCTTTACTTTTGACTTTTTGAAACAGAAGCTCTGTCTTTGAGTTCATATTTAAATTTAACATGAATGCTTTCCTCCCCCTTCCATATTTTGTAGTTATGTAGTAACAAGTTCCGGATTGCTGCTTCCTGTGCTGCTCCCTCGGCTCTACCCACCACTGTTCATGCTTTACGCTTTGGATAACGATCGTGAGGAAGACGTTTACTGGGAATGTGTCCTGCGACTGAATAAGCAGCCAGACATTGCTCTCCTGGGCTTTCTTGGGGTGCAGAGGTAAGTACGGTAGTGATGAGCAGAACCAAATGGTTTTAATTTAAAATGTAGACAGCATAATCAGGAATTCGATACTTTGGTATCTAATTATATATATTATTTGTAGTTTTTTACTATTTGCTATCTCTTATTCAGCAAAATAGTGGTATTTAATCTTTACTTCCTAAGATTTTAGAGATGAATATGAAATCTGCTTAACCTTCTGAATGTCTTTATTCTTAGACTTTTATATATTTATATAAAATACAATAATAATACAAAAAAATACACTAAAAATATACAAACACTACAAGTTATCCTGTCCGATAGTCATTTTTTAATTTTTATATTTTTTCCCATTTTTACATATTTCATCATTTTTTTTTGAGAGAGAGATTTTTGCTATAGGTCATGTGTGCTCGCCAGAAAGACAGAGACAGCAATCGAGAAATCACCCTCCCACCATAGTGGGTGGCCATGCCACAGTCTCTTCTCCTCCATTCTCTCAGGATTTTGGGCATGCACGTAAAGGTGCCTGGTGTGAGTTTTAAGCCGTTGGGTCTGGGACTCAAAATGTGGGAGTCCAGCAGCATAACCACTATGCCATCTGCTGGTCTCCATATTTCATAATTTCTATAGTAAAGTAATATATGTAAATTAATTTTATTCTATATTTTGCATTTATTCTTCTTCTCTCCCTTTCCATCTGAAATTTTTAATTTAAAACTTTTAGAAGTATTCTTTTGGTTGTAAGCTATAATTTCTTATTACAACAGGGGAATACTAAAAGAGTATGCTTTTTATGTAGGGCAGTAATAAAGCAGATGCCCCACTCCATAATTATGTATTTGTGCTATCAAAAAAATGAGTGAACCTTAATTGGAAAGTAAATGTTTTCAAGAGATGAATTTAATAGTAAAAATCAGATTAAACTGAGTGAAGGAAAGAGTTTGGCCTATATTTGGTAATGTCTGTAATTTGTAGGATTATTGGAGTAGAAAATAATAAATCCCTTAGGAATAGCATAGAAACTCTTAAATTTCTTCTAGAATGTTCATTAAAACTGAACCTATATGTGGAACAGTTATTTTTAATGGGGACATGGAAACAGTATAGCCATCAACTCTTTTTATGGGAATTTATCTACAATAAGAAACAACTGATGAACATTAATTATTTTTATTGTAGAAAATTTTGGCCAGTGACCTTGTCAATCCTTGGAGAGAGTAAAAAGGTATGGTAGACTTTAGTGTTCTCAGCAAATGTGCTTTGCTTTGTTGTAAAGGATTCAATATAGTCCACTCCAAAAAAAAAATCTGTTTTATTTTGGTAGAATAATACCCAAGCATGTGACAGTATCAGGTATTACCAAAGATGTGCAGTGTGCACTCTGTATTAATATCACTTGTTTTTATTGTTGTTACAGAAACCTTTCCTATTTGACCTTCACTAATTCTCCTTTTGCAGGTTTTACCAACCACAAAAGATGCATGTTTTGCCTCAGCGGTAGAATGTCTGCAGCAGATCAGGTAATCTCTGATTTTTTTGAAAGATCATGCAAATGAAAGTAATAGTCCATTAAGGTACTAATAAGATTTGCTCCCATCTAAGCTGTAAGCACTCCCCCACACCTTAACTCCCAGATGGTGTTAGATTCAACCTGGAGACTACTTGTCTCTTACTCTGAAATGCCCTTGCCTTTTCAAAAGGGGTAGAGAGTTTATTCAAATTTTTATTTATATAATCACATCTTCCCAAATGGGAAGCTAACCAAACTTCTCAGCTAAGAGGTTTATTTTAGGAGAATAGGATTCCATGTGGGTAAAAGGAGACAGTATGTGATTTAAAGTCTCTTCCATGCGAACCACAGACAATTGGATTACAGAGATTGCCCCTTCTAGTGACTCATTGTGCTCGCTGTGTCCACTTTCAGGCCTGTGAGTTCCAGGAGAGAATGTAGTAAAAAAAGAATAGAAAACGGCCCTAATAATGTTACAGGAGTTCTTTTTGTATTTTTTTTCCTTTATGACAGCACAACCTTTACCCCATCAGACAAACTCAAGGTCATTCAACAGACCTTTGAGGAGATCTCTCAGAGTGTCCTGGCGTCACTCCAAGAAGACTTCTTATGGTCCATGGATGACTTGTTCCCTGTTTTCTTATATGTGGTGCTACGGGCCAGGTAACCAGTTTATGCTGATTTTATTATCAGTGAGGCATTATTTTATTGTGTCTGCTCCTTGCTTTTTCTGAACTGATGACAGGAATATGCTCTCCTACTAGGGAAAAAAAATCCACTTCTGTTAACCCATTCTGTGTATTATTTTTTATTAAGCTGCTTGTTCCTTTTATTATTATTTTTAAAGGATTATTTTACTTAACTAACTTACTTTCTTTCTTTCTTTCTTTCTTTCTTTCTTTCTTTCTTTCTTTCTTTCTTTCTTTCCTTCTTCCTTCCTTCCTTCCTTCCTTCCTTCCTTTCTTTCTTTCTTTCTTATATATTTATTTATGTATTTATTTAAATTTGACCAGAGAGGGACACAGAGAGAGAGAAACAATAAGTAAGAAAGCAAGCTGCCAGGTCTGGGACTTGAACCATGGTCGATCATGTGGGAGTCCAGTGCCCCTAACCACCATGCCACTTGCCAGCCCCTGAGCTGTTTGTTCTTTTCCCATCAAAGGAGTATGGAGGGACCAGCAGTTAGCGTAATGGCTATGTCGCTGGACTCCCACGTAGTCGACCGCAGTTCGCGTCCCGGACCTGGTGACTTAAAAAATTCACGCCAGGCACGTGTGCATACATGCCCAAGATCCCGAGAGGAGAACGGAGGAGAAGAGATTGCGGCGTGGCCATCCCCCCTGGGGGGCGTGATTTCTCACTTTCTCTCTCTGTCTCTGTCTCTCTCTGTCGGGTGACCCACATGCCCTGTAGCAAAAACCTCTCAAAAAAAAAAAAAAAGGAGTATGGATATAAGCAGAGATAACTTAGCACCTTTTTCTCTTTGGGCAGGATTAGGAATTTAGGCTCTGAGGTACACCTTATTGAGGATCTGATGGACCCCTATCTTCAGCATGGGGAACAAGGAATAATGTTTACCACCCTGAAGGTAAGTGTGGATATTATTTAGTAGTTTCTAATCTTAAAATCTGTCCTTGAGCCCAGCAGGTGGCATGCTGGTTAGGAGTCTGGATTCCACATAGCTGAGTCCCAGACCCAGCAGCTTGAAAAACACACCGGGTGTCTGTCCTAGGGTGATTGCTTACTTTCCTTCTCTCTTTGTCTTTCTCTGATGAGCATGTGCATCTTTTGTCAAAAATCTTTAAAAAAAAAAAAGTCCTTGGGCTGACCCGAAGCCTTGTGATTAAGGGAGCCAGAGCTCACATAGCCAACCGTAGTTCGAATCCTGGTTCTGTTGACTTGAAAACTATCCCGGATGTGTGTACATGCAGGCACAAAATCTTGACAAAGTGGAGAAGTGGAAGAGAAGAGATAGCAGCATGTCTGTGTCCGTCGGGTGTGGCTTTCTCCCTCTCCCTTTCTCTGTCTCTCCATCTGTCTGGCAAGTGCACGCAGCCTCTGGCAGGCACACAAAAAAAAGTTTGTGAAGTTTGAATCAGTAGCCTATTCCTAGAGATTTATCCTAAGGAATTAAAGAATGGGAGCCATATATTATCTGGATATGGTGTTTGTTATAATATGAGTAATCCCCAAACCTAGATATAGTCATGTGCTGCGTGATATTTGAGTCAGCAGTCGACTGTGTGTTCAGTGGTGGTTCCTTAAGGCAAAAATCTTTGTCTCGTATAGCCGGGCTGTACCGTATAGCCGGGCTGTGTAGTGGGCTCTACCATCTAGGTTTATGGAAGTGCATTCTCTGATGTTCCCACGATGACAGAATCATCTAATGATGCATTTCTTAGGACATATCCCCATTATTCAGTGATGAATGACTACTTGTCACTGAGGGAACTCCTTAATTCATTCTGGGCCAGCCTGGTAACCTGGTGGTTAAGGGAGCTGGATTCCACATGGCCAACTTCAGTTTGAGTCCCAGCCCTGGTGGCTTTTAAAACACATTGGGTGGGCATGTGTTTATGTATGCTCCGAATTTTGACAGGACTAAAATATGGAGGATTGTGGTGTGATCGTGCTCCTTTTTTCAATGAGGGGTGCTTTCTCTCTCTCTCTCTCTCTCTCTCCCCCTTTCTCTCTCTCTTTCTGTCTCTCTATCCTTCTCTCTGGTAAGTGCACACACCCTCTGGCAATTAAAAAAAATCATTCCTGGAAATCTGACTCACTACATCTGTAATGATGCTTAATCTCTATGCTTATTAAACATACTACATGATTTTGATTATAGTTGTTATATTGTACCATTAAATGATCAACATACCCTGAATGCCCAGGAAATAGTGGCAAATTATGGCACTTCTACTTGATAAAGAACACATACAGCTTATAAAGAATCTTTATTTGTTTTAGAATTTGAGGGAAAGTGTACTGGGTTTTATCTATACTAATGACAACTAAGCAAAAGATAGCCAAAGAATAGTGGGACTAGAAGGAAACAGAAAAGTGAAAGCAACTGAATTTGTTGGGCCATCAGAATTGGTAAGAGATGTTCTTTTCTCAGTCCCACATGTGCTGCTCTGTTTGTATAATCTCTTTAAAACATCATTTAAAATTGTTTTGAACTTCTTTTCAGGCTTGTTACTACCAGATCCAGCGTGAGAAGCTTAACTAGGCTGCAGAAGAGCTGAAAACTGGATTATCTACTGTAGAGTATTAATGGTACCATCTGGAGTCTTTCTGTAGTGGCAAAGGAGTGGTGTTGAAATTAGAAAGGACTCTGTATTATTTTTGTTGTATTTTTGAGCCTTATTAATAATAATCAGAACCCTGAGCCCAGAAAGAAGACAAGACTGTAGAATTTGAAGGAAAGATCGAAAAGAAAAGGAGATAGAGATCATATTTACCATTGGAGAGAACATCTTCCTTCCCACGGTAAAGCACAGGTTGGCTACATGAAGTTACGGAAAAGTTCCCAGTATAGTCTCTTACATTAAAGAAGTTGATGAATATTTTTGTGTTTCTGGTGTGAAGAATTCAACTGCAATTACTCCAGATCCCTTTGCAAGGACCAGATTGTACTTGAAACTGTAGTAGCCACACTCTGCCTCCCCGGTCCCTTTCAACCCAGTGTGCATCATGCTTCATTGCTGTGGGAGGGGAAAGAGAAACGTTTAAACTGCAGTTTTAAACTTTTTCTAAGCATTTCCATCAGGGTATTCATGACGGGAAAGGCTCTGTGTAGTGAATACCACATCCTGACCCCAAAATAGGAAACACATCCAAATAGGAGTCTTCTGCTCTTCTGATGAAAAAGAACATAGGAATTTTGTTCTTAGTTTCCTCATCATGCTGCGGAGAGTGAAAACACTGGAATTCAGACGCTGACTCGGAGCCTGAGGGAGCCTCATTCGTCCATGTGCAAACGCTGTACTCTGAGGCCTGCTGATGTGAGCTGGAAGAGCTTCTGCATGCAGGCTATTTTGGGATAGGATTCAGATTGGGAAATATGGAAGCAGAGATCTGCATCGATCTCCAGCCTCGTGTGGTTCTTCCCTATACCTCGCACTGAACTCACAGATGGGAAGAAAAAGGAAATAAGCTCTGGCTTTTCCCATCTCTAAAGTATTGTGGCACCACAGCATTTTAGTGTGCTGCTTTTTGGTTTTTTAAAAATGTCCCATTGTAAGCTGTTGGTTTACACTGTACAAGTAACACTAGTAGTTGTTTGGAATAACATAGGTGCTCTTTTCACCTCATCTCATCTGTATACATGGTGAGCATACGGAGTGACCTGATTTACCTTAAATAACTCAGCACATGTTCATTACTTTTGAAAAAGGATCATGGTTTCTGCTCTACTTTATAATCAAGACAAGTGTTTATTACAATACTGTTTCGGAATGTTAGCTGTAATGTAACAGCAATTTTCATAATAAAAGACATTCATCTTTATGTGGTGGTTTTATGATTGTAGAAAAAATGGCATAGTGCAGCCTAAAAATATGAAAGGAAATCCAGGCTTAGTATTTCTAAGCCTCTTGTAATCCAGGCTTCTTTGTACTGGCCTTCAGAGCCCCTCTGGGGTTTAGAGATCCCTCTTTCTCTCTTTCTTTTTTTACCCGTCAGTTTTCCTGTACGGTGTGTGCACTCATCAGAGAGAAGTGAGAAATCACCCCCTTGGGGGTGGCCACATGGCAGTCCCTTCTCTGCCATTCTTCGGTCAGGATTTTGGGCACACATGTACTCATGCCCAGTGTGATTTTCAGGCCGTGGAATCCAGGGCTCAAACTGCATGGCCACCTTAACCTTCATGTCACCTGCTGGCCTGAGAACTCTTTCTTGGTAACAAACATAAACATAATTATAGCACTTTTGTTGGCAAATAACAAATTAGTTTTCTGATTCTAGTAACTCCAGGACAAGGATTTTAAATCTCTATTTCTTTGAACCAGAGTTGGTTTGTTTTTGCTCCTAAACAGATTCAGGAAAGGGAAGAGCAAGGATTTAAAGTTCTGGTTAGGGGTGGTTCTGTGATGCACCAATAATGCACTATCAGGAAAAGCTATATCCTACATGGCAACCATGGTTCACATCCCCAGCCTAGTGACCTGAAACCCACCAGGTGCATGTGAGTGCCTGAGATCTGGAAGCTGGAGCAAGTGGATTGTAGCATAGCCAGATCCTGTGGAAGGGTGGCTTTTTTCTCTTTCTCTTTCACATGCTCCGTCATAAGAAAATCCTGGCTGGAAATGCCAGGCGTTCCAGCTAGCTCAGCCTCGCAGCAGTAACATACTAAAGTGATGCTGGATCCATATGGACGATCATGGTTTTGGTTCCTGAGTAGACCTTACCTCCAGGCACATGCTCATGATCCTGGGGGGGTGGGGGTGGAGCGGGGTGGGGGGCAGTTGTGGCATGAGACCTTATTGAAGATGTTTCTCTGTCTCACAAAAGAAACTTTAAAAAAGAGAAAAGGCGTATTAGGCACTAATTCATCTCCTAGTTGTAGTGTTTTCTCAGGAGGCTTCCCATCTTCCTGCTACCTTCTACCAGAACGACCTCAAAACTTAGTTTCTTTCTTTCTTTTTTATTTATTTATTTTTTTGAGAGGTTTTTGCTATAGGGTGTGTGTGCTCTCCAGAGAGAAAAAGCAAGAAATCATCACCCTAGGGAGGATGACCACGCCACAGTCCTTTCTCCTCCATCGTCCTCCTGGGATCTTAGGCACATACACACATGTGCCAGGCATGAATTTAAGGTCCGGGACTCAAACCGTGGTCAACCACATAGGAGTCAACCACAGTGGCTACGTCACTGGTCCCTCAAAACTTAGTTCCTGTTAAACACTGCCTTTCCATTGAGGGTTGTTTTGGCTTTTGTGAACAAACACAAATACCACATTTGACTGGCGAAGACAAATTCATTGAACACTTAACTCCTTAAGAAAGAGTCAGGGGTAGGATCAGCAGATGGCATAATGGTTACGTAGCTGGACTCTCACGTAGTTGACTGGTTTGAGTCCTGGACCTGGTGGCTTCACACACACTGGGTGTGTGTGTGTGTGCCCAAAATCCTAAGACGAGAGTGGAGGAGATTCCCTCCTGGGGGGTGATTTCTTGCTTTTTGTCTCTCTTATCTCTCTGATGACTGCATGTACCCTGAAGCAAGAAGTCTCTCTTAAAAAAAAAAAAAAAAAGAATCAGGGTTAATACTCAGAAATGGACAGACAGTGGCTCATTGCAGCAGAAATGTACTGTTCAAGCAGTGCTGGATCCACACAACAGATTGCAGGTTTGGTTCCCCCTGCTGACCTGTGCGTGCTGGGTGTACATACCTACGATCCTGATTGGGAAAGTGGAACGGTGGGGTGGGGAGTGCAGCGTGAGACCTGTTCAGAGGGCTTGTCTCTGTCATGAAAGAAAGAAAACTTTAAAAATAGGGGGAAAGAAAGAAACAAAGATAATTTAAGATAATGGTCATTGGAACCAGCAGTTAGTGTAATGGCTATGTCACTGGACTCCCATGTAGTCGACCGCAGTTCAAGTCCCGGACCCAGTGGCTTAAACTCACGCCAGGTGCGTGTGCGTGCGTGCCCATGATCCTGAGAGGAGAATGGAGGAGAGGGGATTGCGGCGTGGCCATCCCCCCTGGGAGGGGTGATTTCTCACTTTCTGTCTCTGTGTCTCTCTCTGTCTCTGGCAAGCACACATGCCCTATAGCGAAAACCTCAACAACAACAACAACAACAAAAGATAATGGTCATTGTTTAAAAAAAAAAAAAATTTAAGACAAATAGACCCTGGGAAATTCTCAAATAATGGTAGGCTGTCTCTGTTCTAAGAAAAACAGTATAAATCATCCTTTTCCTGGAGTCTCGAATGAAACTGTCCAGTTATTTTAGCCCTTCATATGGTATACTTTTCACCGCTATATGTTTTCAAGTCTCTTGGAGAAAACTAAATCTCCAGACCAGTGACTGTAAATAGAAATACCTAACGTGCAGGGGCCAACAGATGGTGTAATGGTTACATTGCTGCATTCCTACGTAGTCAACCATGGTTTGAGTCCTGGACCCAGAGGCTCAAGAGGACAATGGAGAAGGGATTGTGGCGTGGCCTTCCCCCCTAGGGGGTGATTTTTTGCTTTCTGTTTCTATCTGGCGAGCTTGTGTGCCCTATAGCAAAAATCTCTCTTACAAAAAAAGAAAAAGAAATACCTAATACGGAGTAATTTACAAGGACTTTTCACATGCATGATGAAAGCTTGCAGCATCTCTGGGAAGTACGGGTTAATCCACTTCTCTCAGTTTTGCAGACAAGACTGGCTGTGATGTGCTCACTGCCAGAGCCGGCCCTCTGACCTAGAACTGCCCTACTCTAATTCCATGCTCTTTCCTACTACAGCTGCCCAGAGACAGCATTTCATAACTGGATTATGCCATACAAGTTCTTAAAGGAGCCAGGTGGTGACCCAGAGGTAAAAATGCAATGCTCTGCAAAGCTGATTGACATGGGAAGGTTCCCAATTCAAGTTGAGGTCTCCCTGAGTAGACTAGTCATGTATGTCACCCTGATCTGGGGTCACCTGAAGGCTCAAGATGCAGCTTGGTGTGTAGTTTCTCTCTCTCTCTCTCTCTCTCTCTCTCTCTCTCTCTAGTGAGTGCACACACCCTACTGCAAACTAAATTTAAAAAGAAAAGTTGTTTAAAAATGAGCTAAAAATTGAAAATACTACAATTAAGTGTTTTTGATAAAATACGCAGTACCAGAAACACTCACAAATGTGTTACCTGTGTTTCCATCTACTTCAGAGGAGAAGGAAAGCCATGTCTTACATTTGAGGTAAAAAGGCTGATAAACCTTTAATAATTACCATTTGATCTTTACCTTTAGCATACTGTTGCAGGGTCCTTCCTCTTGTTCTTTGCATATCTGCCTCGAATGACCAAATGACCCCTCCCTGCAGTATGAAATTTGCAAATTGCATAGCTTTGCTCTGAGGTAGAGAATGGACTCACTATTTGTTAAGGTCAGAGCAGTGGCTTGTTCGGGGACCAACCAGAAGGAACTGTTTCCTATGGGCCTCGTTTTTGTTAGCTGAAGAGTCTCCCATCATTTACTCATCATTACATGAGGAAATTAATGAGGTTAATGGGTTCGCTCAACTCTGGGTTATCTCTACCAATTTCCCTTCCATTAAAATAAAAATGCTTGGGATCAGCAGATGGCGGGGTGGTTAGGGCACTGAATTTCCACATGGCCAACCGCAGTGTGAGCCCTGGACTCAATGACTTGAAAATCACAGCAGGTGTGTGTGCATGCATGTCCAAAATCCCAAAAAGGAGAGCGAAGGAGAAGATTGTGATGTGGGTATCCCCCCAGGGGAGTGATTTCTCAATTTTCCTTTCTGTCTCTGGCAAGCACACTCACCTATGGAAAATACTGTAAATGAATCAATAAAAATGCTACTTTCTCTTACCCTGAAATAACAAAAATAGTGCTATTTGGTGTACCTCTATGCAAGCAGTTTAAGAGAGAAAGTAGTAGGATAAAGTTTGAAAATGATGTAAATCAGCCTTCAGCTCAAGGAATACTTAAGAAGATTTGTGACGGGAAGGTTTGTGAGTAATGCAGAGCATAGGCTGAGGTAGGAGTCTGGGGATTAAATCAAAGAGGATGTCCCGAGATTTCATCTAGTGCAGTAGGGTGACTTTGGAAGCTACTAACAGCCTCTAGTGTTTCCTGCTAAAGCTTTTGCCTGGAAAGGAGCAGTGTTGCTTATTTGCAGTGTACAGGTAAGAGCCTTGCCAAGTAACTCACGGTTACTAGAAGTGTCTAGCCCTACTGTAACTTTTAATAGCTAAAGATACAATTCTGGGCACTCTAGTTCAATGGTTTCATAGTAAATCAAATTATGTAGAGAATTAATGATTTTGACAGAGCAGGTGTGGCTTTGAGGAGCTAATTTCTTGAATATGGAAAAGTGACTTGTCCTGATGGTTGGGTAAAACCGAGCTTTGGTCCTAGTCTCAATCAACAGCATTTCGGCCCAGAGGAAGCCAGATGTTTTTATATGGGCTATTTCTTACTAAATTTCTATTAAAAAGCATTATTTTTTTAAAAAAAAGCATAATAAGGGTGTTGGATGGGGCCTTTAATAGTAATCAGTACATTTAAAAATGCTAATGGGGGACCAGCAGATGGCTTGGAGGTTAAGGACTCTGAATCCCACATAGATGATCCCACAGTTCAAGTCCCAGACCTGGAGACTTGGAAATCACACCAGGTGTGTGTGCACATGTGCCCAGAATCCCAAGAAAAGAATTAAAGAAGAGGTTGCAGCATGGCCATCCCCTCTGGGTGTGGGTGTATATGATTTCTCACTGCCCCTATCTCTCTGTGTCTCTCTCTCTCTCCAATTAATGCAAGAAAGAAAGAAAGAAAGAAAGAAAGAAAGAAAAGAAAGAAAAATAGAGGAACTGGATGGTGGCACAGTAATAAAACCTGAATTTCGAAAGGCTGACCTACATGGGAGAATAGTGGATTTGAGTCTAGCAACCTTCCTGAGTATGCAGAGCATGCGTTTGCCCGCTAGTCTGGGGATGGCTGAGGCTGGGGTGGACCGTGGTGTCAAGACCCTGTTTGGGTGCTGCCCTGCTGTGTCTCTTTTCTTTCTCAAACATGAGAGAGAAGAAATACACTTTTTTTAAAAAGCTCATGGAAATACTGATTTTTTAAAAACAGTATATTTTATTTGTTTTGTTGTAGGGCATATGCACTCACCAGAGAGAGAGGGAAAGTGAGAAATTACCCCCAGAAGAATGGCCATGTTGCAATCCCCTCTCTTCCCCCTCCTCTCGGGATTCTGAACATGAGTGCACACACACCTGGTGTAGTTTTTTCAAACCACTGGGTCCAAGACTCCAACTGTGGTGTCAGCCATATGGAATCCGGTACTTTAAGGCCACACCATCTGCTGGCCCAAATATGCTGATTTTAAAAGTAATATTCAGGACAAAGTTCTTAGGAATTAGTAACAGTATTGTAGCTTCAAGTCAATGACAAGAACTGACCAGCCTGCCCATGTTACTTAACCAACCGGATTGCATGTAGGTGGGGTGCACGCTCACTTCAAGAATTCTCATTCTTGAGGCCAGAAGATGGCGTGGTGGTTGAGGCGGTGGATTCTCACATGGCCAACCACAGTTCAAGTCAGACCTGGAGGCTTGCTTTCTCCCTCCCACCTCCGCTGTCTTCTCTCTCTTTCTCTCTGGTGAACACATGTACCCTATAGAAAATTTTAAAATAATAATAAATAATTCTTTAAAAAGAAAAGATTCTCATTCTTAAGACAGTAGAAATTGGTAGGTCCTCTTGACCAAATTGGTACAGAAGTCACGAAAAGGGAGGCAAGGAAGAAATGTTACAGACTCTAGCTTCTTTGAGGACTAAGGAAACAAAAAAGGAAAACGGATTTGACTGCTTCTTAACTCTGTAGAACATCTCTGTGAGTGTCAGATGCCTTATTACAAGAGGAGGGTGCTGCATTCGATTCTCTTTAAGATCCCCATTCAGCCCGGGTTTTCAAGTTTGACAGGGAAGGAGGTTACAGTCATATAACCAGGTACAGGGAAGGTCACCACCCTGGAGGTCAGCTCCTCCCACCTCAGGAGTGAGATCCTAGTCTAGCGCCTAGCCCCCAGCACCACAGGCAAGGCTGTTTGCTTTGGTGTGGGTCCTAGCGTGCCGCCATGCCTGGCTTGCTCAATAAATGCTGTGGAAAATGCACTGTGATGCACTGAGAGCTACGTGGCTGGTGTGGATGCATGATCTATGCGCTGTCTATTGCTCTGCTT